TCTGTCTTTGTTAGATCCTTGTTTTGCCGTTGACTGTGTTCACTGGGAAGAGCTTTGTATTTTTCTTGTAAAGGTGTTTTTCTGTGAAATCTGCATTTGGGTCCTGCCTGCTTCGCTCAACCTTGACAACAGGAGAGAGACGGACAACTGTTGAGAGGACAAGCGTGAAAAGAAGACAAGAGGCAAAGGCAGAAGGTTTGAGATGTATACGGAGGACTGAGGAAAAGGAAAGGAACTGACAGGAGGACAGAGGTGGGAGAAGGTCATGTACAAAGGAAGGAGAAGATGAAGAGATTGAAGAAGAGAAAAACAGAGGAGATAAGACATGCCAATCTGAGGCAGGGAGAGAGCAGACTGGAGAAGGAATACAACAAGGGAAGACAGGAGACATTGTGAAAGGATAACAGGTGGGAGGTGTAAAGGAAACACAGAGAAGATGATGCATGACTGAAGGAGATAATTGAGAGGAGAGAAGAACAGGGAAAGGAGAGTTGGAGATGAGGAATGACAGAAAGGAAAGGAGTAGAGGAGATGAACTTAGGGGGAAAACGGGGGGAGACATTGCGAACAATTGATGCATAAGAGGAAACGTGAGGTGGAGAAGAAGGAAGGGGGGGAAGGAGATGTGAAGGATAGACTGAGAAGATGATGCACGACTGACGTAAATAAATGAGAGGAGAGAAGAGGAGATGGGATCTTATTGGAGGACTGAGGAGAAGGAGTGAGAAGAGAGGGGAGGACAGACAGGGCAAGGAATGAGAAAAGGCAGAGGAGTGAAACGAGAAGAGAGGAGAGACAGCATGTAAATCAAGAGAGGAAGAAAGGAAAAGGTTAAGGAGACGAGAGGAGGACGGGATGATTTAAGGAGAGAGCAAAGACAAACTGAAGGAGAGCAGAACAAAAGGACGAGGGGAAAGAAAAGATGTTCTGAGGACATAAGGACTATATTTTATGTAGAAAGGAGTGACAAGATGACGCAAGAGACCGAAGTAGAAGTGGAGAAACATCCAACTGTTAAGACATGAGGAAGAAGGGAGGAAGAAGGAGAGGTGACAAGGAGAAGGGCGGAAATTAGATTTAAAGTGGACCTATCATGCTATATTATAATAATATAGTGTAGGACCATACCTATATAAGGCATATTTATACTTTTTTTTTTCAAAATACCAAACAGATCATGCATTTTAGCCATGCCTCATTTTGCTCAATTTGACATTTTTTAGCTCTGTTTTTGCAAGGGCAGATTCTGTGAGAACAGCACCATCTACAGGCCTGACATATGTACTACAGCGTCTCCAGCGCTTTCGAACGGCAATGGCCGTGGCTGTCTCCTCCTGATTGGTGGAGTTGGCCCAATAGCCGTAGCGCCACCGTCCTGACGTCAGGACAGTGTTCAAATCTGGATCAGTTTTTATCAGATCCGTTGCAGCCCCTTTTTTAGAGATTTGGGTATGGAGGAAAATAGAGAGGGTTGTGTTTTCTGACACTTGGTGAGTTCCCTGGAACACCGGGGACACATATTCATGTATAAAAGACGTACAAAAGTGCATTTTGCATGATAGGTCCCCTTTAAATAAGAGGAGAGACTTGGGTAAACACATGCCCTCCTGCCTGAGTGCTATACATAGACACAGTCACCTACTTCCCAGAGACACAACAACAGTGTGGGCTCAGCCATTCACAGTTTGACCTGAATACACAGCAGGATGGATGCGAGGTACGAGCTTCACTCAATGTGCTGAAACATTTGTTAAGCCACTTCCTGGAGCCTCATTCCTAAAAATATATAAAACAAACTCTCTGCAAAGTAGGTTCCAGAATAATAAATCCACGCCTTTTGCTGCTGTTCTTATGAAAAGCCGTGTCGTCTTTTATTTTCTGTAATACTGTGGAAAAATAATTACATACAATTTGAAAAAAGAAACATGAAAATAAAACAACATTTCAGCAATATCTGGTATGTTTTTGTACAGTTTTTTTTTCTCAAATAAAAGGGATAAACGAGTACTCAAACCCAACATGAACATAATACACATGTGAGCAATATATAGGGTTAAAATAAAGAGTTGGAGTATGAATAAATGCTTATAAGAACACCCACACGGTGCCTCTCTCACCCACATGCACACCTCCACTTTAAACATTTTTGAAGTGCAACATGGCGTCCTCCTCACTGTTCTGATGGTCGTCTTCAGAACATCAATTAATCCTGTCCACTGGTGCAGCTGTTTCTCCTTCCTCGTGTCCTAAGGCCACGCAATGTCTCCTTCACTCTGTCCTACCAGCTGGCCTGGTTCCAACTAGGGTTTGACTGATACGGTATGGTTTCCTTTTATATTATATTCAACTCCTTCAAAGTGTATCATTTGGATTTGAAAAGCAACTGAATCTCCTCAACAAGGTGGATATGCCTCTAAAGTGCAATGTGACAATACATTGGAGATACAATTCTGTTAAGTTTTACAGCTCATTAAGGCCATTTGAAGTTATAATCCTTCAGATTTTAGTCCCAATTGATTTGCATTTTGATAAAACAAGTCATGGTGGGTTTAAAACATAATCTGTATACCACTTGAGACAGGTCTACAGCCACACTATGTTTTTACTTAAGGTATCCGTGCACATGAGATCGTTGTAGCACCGTTTCAGAAATAATTGCAGTTAATACTGAAAACTCATGACTGTTCACGTAAACTTGGCAGGCACGAGTTGGTGTAAACATGAAACAGGTCCATGCCGCTCAACGAGGGAATTTAGCAAATACTGTAGCTACATTTTGGCTTGCATTGAGGCAACAGTAGCATTACAATAGGAAGAGCTTCTCTCCATTACAGCTGCTTATAGAAAACAAGGTGAGCAAACCTAATGTGTTACTATGCTGAATTAACTTCTAGTAGTCAAGGCTGATTTGTTTGATTTCTCCCAGAAAAGGGTCACATGCTAAGGTCGTGACCAATCAGGGAAGGACAGGTTGTCACCGTTAAGACACAATCAGGCAGCGAGTGTTTTGTGTCTGTTTCCACATATCAAGACTAATAATAAAATCCCAAACCAAGTTTTAAAACTATAATGAATCAGCACGGATTGAAAAGTTTCAGTTTTTGCTGTTTAATAGCCTTTGAGACTGAATTGGCATTACGTTTCACTTTGTTTTACAGTCTGACATCTTGGTGATATCGGCCAATCTACATTTGGAAGAAAGAGTCATTTTGTTCGACCACCATCGGTTGAAAGAGACATTTTTTGTCCCTCCTATATGTCATCTCAAATTGACACAGAAGATATTGTAGTGGTTGCTCAAATTAATCAAACATTTTCATAAAAAGTCAGGCTATGAGCTGATAATATCTGATATTTACCAAGACCAGTCAGTCAAACCCTAATTTCTACAGACCAGTAGACCTGTCTAATGATATGAATACACACTGGTGTTACAGGCTGCCAACACACACATCAACACACACACATGGTCACAGATGGTGACAGTACATGTGCATTAATGGAGATCCAAACAGCTAGCCCACACACACACACATACACACGCACACACACATACACACACCCATAAGCACACATAAACACAAATGGCTGCTGCATTTGTTTGCCTGCTCAGTTCATTTTCTGCTTTTGGCACTGAATGAAAACTCCACAAGGTAAAAATGAACGCTTGAGTTGTTCTTGGAAAGCGCGGCACAGCACAGCGTGGAAAAGAGACGTTAGCTGTGGCTCTGGCCTGGTTTTTAGCCTGGTTTGGCCTAGTTGACACAGAGTTTTGGCTATTTGTGGCCTGGCTGAGTAGTCTTTTGGCCACACACACATGTACTCTCTTTTTTTTGCTGGGTTGATTAATCAGAACCCACTCTATCTGATGCATACACAGAAAAATACTGCATATCAAACACACTTTTGACAACAGTCCTTTCTTCCACTGGTGAGGCTAGAACACAAATGAATACCAAGAAAATAAGATGATGATTATCATACAAAGAAATAAGGATTATGTCATGAAGCTGTATATTCTCTAACAACTGATTCCCAATGCTCCAACACATATACACTAATGCAAGATACACCTACTCCGTGTGATAATGGCGCCAATACAATTTGGAAGAAAGCTATGAGGGATATGTTTCCTCTGTTGATATGAGTATTTTTTTTATGAAAAGACAACCTTTTAAATTGAAAGCTGTTAGGTGGCTGTTAATGTGACGCAGGGGAGAAAGCAGAGAGTAAAGGGATGAGAGGTACATAAGGAGAAGAGGGGGAAAACATAAAAGAAAAGTGCAGTAATCACTTTCAGATTCCCTCATTTCTTATTTCAACTTTACACCTCTGTTTTGCATTTTTGGCATCTATGGTGTCTTTTCCATATTAATATGCCCACAATGTCAACAGAGTGTACAAACTAAAGAGGGAAGGACTAAGTACCTGGCTGTGGTTTTGTTGTTCTTCGTCCTCCGTGTCAAATGTTCTCATTCTACACAAGGTCATAACGTCATTTCAAGTCAGATGCAAAATACTGCACGGCTACAACTCTGTAAAAATGATTGTAAAGAGGTAATAGTATGCAGTACCAAGGCTGTGATAACCATATAAATTTAAAAGGGTGCTCCATCTGCCATTCTTCTCCTATAACCATACAGCAATGTTTTATATGGTGACCTTGAAGCTACAAGGCTCCATCTGATACTCTAATCAGAAATGGCGTGGCTGCAGTTTCCTTTCTGAAAGTGTTTATTCAAAACAGGGGCAATAAATACAACTTTTACTGCCCCCTAGCAAAGAATTACCATAATATAATGTATCTGTGAAGGGTTGATGGGGTGGCTGATAAGTATAAAGACTCAATGATTACCTCGAGAGATGCAGAGATATTTGACTTCACTTTGCAGCCGCAGGTCTTTTTCAGAGCATCTGCTATCATTTTTTTGCTGCTCACAAACGTATGGAAGAGATAGAAAGAGAAGAGGGTGTTTTCATTGCATACAGCCCTTTTTTTGCTTTGACTTTTCAATAAAGCGTGCCCTTAAGAAAAGGGAGAACATCAAGAAAATGTCGAAGCAGTTCCTGGTGATTGCCAAAACAATGTATAATCTAATGTCCCTTAAAAAAACACAATGAAACCAATAGAACTTTAGAGTTTAGTACAAAGTAAAGTTTGCTGCTGCTGCTGCTGCTGCGTCTAATCAAAACATGATTGTCACCATTACAGGTGAATTTGCGAGATGGTATGATACAAAAAGAAATCCAATTTTACTTACAAATCTCAGTGCGTGTAAACATGAACCAATTTGAAAACCAGTAGGAATTTGATCTTACTTAAGCACATGTTGCTGCTTTAGACACATGTTTTTTAGCTCCGTGTTAACACAGCAAGCAACATTATTGATACGTCGCTGGAAGTCTAATTATTTCCTGTGGGGGGGAACATCAGGAGAAATATCTCAAAAGATGTCATTTAGACATTCAAAGCTCTCTCTAAAGCTGTCAAAAACTGTCTTCTTGTAACCATAGTTGGCATTAAAACTGTTTTTATAATTTATTTCTTATAATAACTAATTGAGATGTCGTTATAAGGCAATATATTTGATTGTTCCATATTCCAGGTACAGTACACACTGGTTTTGTTAGCCTTTTATAAGCTAAATATAGTATTGATTTGGACTTATTTGGCGCTTTAAGTGAGAAAACGTCCAGATTTTTTAAGACCCTACCAGACAAACAGACACGTGTGATCTTCTCTCTTGTTGTAAAATAATTTGTTTCTGGGAGTTCATGGGGCTTGTAGCTGCATCAGTAGAGGTTAGAGGTTAGTAGCATCATTTCAATACGCTGATTATTGTGAGCCTGTTGGGTTAAAGTCCAAACACACGAACCAAAGCTGACACGATATAACAGAAACAATCTCAGACATAAAATACCACCAAATGTTCTTCTGCAGGGACACACCAGTTTACTTTACATATAAATGTACAAAGTACCGTATGAGCTAGATAGAACCCTCTCTACCTTCATTTTGATATGTTAGACTACACTTCACATTTCTTACAGAGTTCGCAGCTCAAAGAGAGCAGCTGCTTTCTTCTCCATCCACCATTTTGAATGTCGTCGACGTTTGAAAAAAGGCAGTCCGGTCAAAAGACTGGAAGTCACAGAAAGAGTTTCACACCAAACAGAGATATCCCCCCAAATAGATTTGATGGATATTTATCATTTTGGATTGAAGCTCTTCAATTTCCTTTCATTTTAGTCTACAAACAACCACTTCAATACCACCGTCCATCACTTTTTAAAGAAACTCAAAACGTTTCCAATAACGATCATGTCGCCACGTACACTTTAAAAAGTGAGTTTCACCCAAAACGCTGAACCTTTGGTCCACAACTCCTTAGAAAAATACTATAAAATGTTTCTGAATGCCTTTTTTCTTCATAGTTTCGGTATAAATATGGGAACAAAATCTATTCTACTGTGCAAGTGAGAGAAACAAATACTTTTTTTTGACACTGGAGGGTAGGGGAGGTATCTTTTTGTACAAATTGCAGAAATTGATTGAATGAAAAAAGCGCTTCCGTCACACCTCGTTTCACAAATACTGTACACAGCAATGACCTCGAGTGAAATGTAAGTACAGAAATGCATCATGATGATTACAAATGACAGACGAGGAGGAGAAATGAGCATATATTGACGCTTGCTACCACTCCTTTCCTTTGCTCGCAGATGTAGAAAACCTCATTGTCCAGACGACTCCTTACAAAAGTAGACACACCTTAAGAGTTTGTGTGTGTTGGCACATAAGCATTGGCACTCTGGTCACTAACTGCACCACTTTAAGAAACTGTGTCCCAGTCAAATCAAGGTAGATCTCGTAGGTAGGCGATGGCCACTGGGCAAGTTTTAGTGAGGAGATCAAAAAGTGCCAAAGATGTTTAAAGTCCAAGCTGCTCCGCTGCTGTATACATCGAAACAAATACGTTTTCAAAGATCTGCGTGTGTGTGTTTTTGCAAAATGCCAGAGTCAGAAAAAGTGTGGACTACAGGACGGTTGGCTGTAGGTCACTGTACTGCATCACATTGTATAGGTTTGTACAAGGAAATAACTTTAAAATGACTCCATTTGCACCTATTTACAGAGATGGGATGTGAGCAAAGTGTGATGCAGGGAGATGATCCAAGAGCAGGACGAGGATTTCAGGATGGAGAACGTTCCTCTGTTCCTCTTTAAGCTCAGCGCACTCTTCTTCAAAGTGCTCTTTTTCTCTTTTCGTCTCTTTTCTCATGATTGTGGCTCTCGCTGTCGCACTGCACGCAACAGCAGGTCTGCGCAAACATGTGAGCATCGCTTTGCATGTGTTGTGTGTATTGCTGCTCAGTGTGTGTTGTTGCGATGCTGCGGTGAGTTATCGTGGGGTTTTATTGGTTACAAAATGAACCAAATTCCATGCATTGGATGCTATGGAAATAGATTTTTTGTTTTTTTTGTTTAAGAATGTTTTTGATGAATGTGTAACACGTACTGCAGCTTCAAAAAGCAGGTCAAGGGGTGTGTGCTTCTCAAACATGAGTCTGCATCCGCTGTATGTGTCTTTGGGAATAGTCAGAAGGCGGAGACGAATACGAGAAGCGAGTGGAGGTTCCATACTGCCCCAGACCCGCCTCAGGACTCTGTTGTCCCGGCCCTGGTCCTGGTCCGGGCCCTGGCCCTTGTCCTGGTCCTGGCCCTTGTCCTGGTCCTGGCCCTGGCCCTTGTCCCATCGCTGGCCCTTGTCCCATCGCTGGCCCTTGTCCCATCGCTGGCCCTTGTCCCATCGCTGGCCCTTGTCCCATCCCTGGCCCTTGTCCCATCCCTGGCCCTTGTCCCATCCCTGGCCCTGGGCTCATCCCTGGCCCCGGTCCCATCACTGGCCCTGGCCCTTGCCCTGTCGGATACATCTCATAGGCTGGCCCTTCCTCTATGGGTGGAGCGAAGCCTATCCGGTAAGTAGGGTACTGGGAGGGGTACCCGTAGTTGTCGTAGGCCAGCTGGGTGTTGTTGTCCATCAGACCGCAGTCTCCGGGGTAATCTCCAGGCGACTGTAGAGTTGGATTGGGAGGTGCTTGCTGGCTCTGAGCCACCCGGGTGAAGGTGTTGAACTGGGCGTAGGTGGGGTGAGAGATCCTGGATGGTGGGCGGGGGTCGTAGCAGCCTGACCTGGATCCTGGGACTCCACTGGGGGCAACAGCTCCACTGGCTCCAGCAGGGGATCCACTGGAGGGGGGGCCGGCCGGTCCGATGTTTGGGTTCGGAGAGCGGAACTCACCCTGGTAGTGGATGGCCCGGGACTGGGGGCGCGCCTCCTCGTGGGTGGTGGCTCGGACGTTGTAGTAGCCATTGGTTGGATCCTGTGGTCAGAATATTTGTTCTATATTATTGTTAAGGAAACAGCAAAATTGGGCAAAAGACATCTAAACATCTGGTCTTTGCTTCCATTAGCTTGGCCTTATATTAAGGACCCCATTAAAGCACTTTTACACATACAATTTCAGCATTTACCCATTCAAACACATTACTTACTAATTATTTATCTAATATATCATATTCCAATTACTTGTATATAGACTCTCCTTGCACTATTTCTATCCTATTTTATTTGTATTTACTTGCACTATTTTAACTATTGTATCTGTGTTATTGTGTTGCACTGTTGGAGGAGCCTGACCTAAGATTTTCATTGATATATCTACACTGTAGCTACTGTATGTACACATGACAATAAAAGCCCTGAATCTTGAATCTTGAATGAATCTACTACAGAGGCAGAAGCTACCATACATGGTGGAAACTAACACACACACACTGTTGGCCATGCTATTCGGAGCAATTTGTAGGGCTGGGGATTAAAACATAAACTTTCTGATTGTTGGCAATCAAAAAAACTCCTGAGCTTCTAATATTATATCGGTAACGTTGCAGGCTGATGTGTTTGGTGACGTTGGGGTAGTTTGTGGCGTGCTGTTGCTCATGCTATGTCCAACAACTTACCGTGGTGTGTAACTGATGCAGTGCACAATATGCGTATGAACAAGAGATGATGATACACCTTAATTTTACCAGGACAAACATTGTATGACATGTTTATACACCATGAAGGATGTAATGTTCAAAATGCTGATGCTACAATATTAATGCTAAAATGTGCCTCTGAGTGAGGGGTGTTCTCACCTTGAGCTCGTACTCCTCCCGGGTGTCGCTCTCGCTCCGGATGTCCTGTTTCAGGTCCATGTCGTCTTTGAACGGCTGAGTGGAGGGAGAGAGGGAAACAGAGGGCAAAAACTAAACCATCAAACAACGAAACACACACACGGAAAGAGGGAGGGTGAAAAAGGAAAGGAGGAGGAAGAGAGGAAAACAGAGTTTCAGGTTTTTCATCCCAAGAGAGTAGAAGACGAGAAACGGTTAGTCGTTGGAAAAAAAAGGTTTTGGATCAAACTTTAAAACCGCTCCAAAGTAGCCTGGACGATTACACTCTCCAAGACTTCCAACATGTTACAGGGGGTGTTGTGCAATTTAAAATGTGTGTATTTGTGTGTATAAACAAAGTAAGTACCGCACTTAATGTCACTCTGTGCATCATTGCACTGTTCTTAACGTTAATGTCTTTATTAATACTAATGCACCAATGTATATATTGTGATAAAACATTGCTTTTACATTACATTTACTTGAGGCATTTATGTTTGCATAACTATTATTTAATTGTTATGTCATTTGATTTGATTTGATTTAAAGTGGACCTATCATGCTATATTTGAATAATATAGTGTAGGACCATACCTATATAAGGCATATTTATACTTTTTTTTTTTCAAAATACCAAACAGATCATGCATTTTAGCCATGCCTCATTTTGCTCAATTTGACATTTTCTAGCTCTGTTTTTGCAAGGGCTGATTCTGTGAGAACAGCACCATCTACAGGCCTGGCATATGTACTACAGCGTCTCCAGGGCTTTCGAACGGCAATGGCCGTGGCTGTCTCCTCCTGATTGGTGGAGTTGGCCCACTAGCCGTAGCGCCACCGTCCTGACGTCAGGACAGTGTTCAAATCTGGATCAGTCTGTATCAGATCCGTTGCAGCCCCTTTTTTAGAGATTTGGGTATGGAGGAAAATAGAGAGGGTTGTGTTTTCTGACACTTGGTGAGTTCCCTGGAACACCGGGGACACATATTCATGTATAAAAGACGTACAAAAGTGCATTTTGCATGATAGGTCCCCTTTAATATTATTTTATTTATATATTCAAAATCAATCAAATACATTTTATTTTATTTTATTTTAAATCTAAAATGAAGCAACTGTCATGAAACCCATTGTCCCCCAGGATAAATAAAGTATTTTGATACTGATTCTTGTCCATTGTTATTTTTCATCTGTCAGTAGGTAGAGCGCTTTTTCCGATTGTGTGCACAATTTTTTATATATTTTTTGTTGTGTGTATTTCAAGGCAAGCCTTGGGCATCTGTTTACTGAGTGGGTGTGTGTGTGTGTGTGTGTGTGTGTGTGTGTGTGTGTGTGTGTGTGTGTGCGTGTGTGCGTGTGTGTGTGTGTGTGTGTGTGTGTGTGTGTGTGTGTGTGTGTGTGTGTGTGTGTCTGTCTCTCCTTCCATGTCGCCCTTTGTGTGGGTGTATCTGTACATTTAAGCCCATTGACCCGTACGCCTCCTCTCCGCGGCCTCCGGTGACTCAGATGAGTTTCTACTCACGGAGTACATGGCCTTGACCATCCGGGTTGCCGTGGAGATGTCGGCCGCCTCCTCCTCCAGGCTGTGGGTCTCTTTGTTGACCGTCTCTACCTTGATGTCGGGTTTACCGAGGGTGACACCCCGGCGACCTGGAAGAAGAAAACACAACCCCTGGTCATATTCTGGGTCAGGAAACATTCATTTATTATAAAAAGCAACAGAAACCCACACACTGTTTGCCTTGTCGCTTTTATTTTCTTCAGCATTCACGATTAAGGGAACAATATGTCAGAGAAATGCACATTCATCTGGTATAAATATCCTCTTAGAGGTAGCCAGGGTTGAAGATGCATGTGTTGTAGCAGTTGTTTCTGTCAGAGTGTCTCATGTTGGTTGATGATTATTTATTTTAATCCTCACATTTAACTTGGACTTAAAGCCTACACGTTATGCATAATTAAAAGCCCTGTGTAGGATTTCTACATATCTGGCATTGAATTGTATACTCTCCATAACCTTTAAATACATCTTCTTAATTTAGGGTAGATACAGTAGGTGGTGAGAGGGTTCAGATACAATTCTGTCTTCATTTTACGCAACAGTCAGTCAGATTTGTATAACATGTAAAACAAAAAGGTGAATCTTAAGCATTTTAAGCAGCTGTCAGACATTTACCTTGTACTGTAAATAAATGAGCTGGCACATTTCTGTTTGTCTCATATTTGAATAAGCCACAACATTAATCTTATTGGGACCTTGTAATATTTGTGTAACACTTCTAGCATGGCTCAAGTCTAAATTGAGTGCCGTCACATTCATATCAAGGTTAATTATGCACAGGCAGAGATTAAACTTATGTCATGTAATTTTCTTGCTTGACTTTAAGATGGGTTACTTATGTGATACTAAGTATTGCTGAAGACAGTGGCAACAATGTGGATTCATGGCCAGAAAAACATTATCTTTGATTGATTAAATTGATTATTTCAATGTTAAGGAGGCCCTATTATGCTTTTTGGTGTTTTCCCTTTCCTGTTTTGTGTTATAAAAGTTGTTGTGCATGTAAATGGTCTCCAGAGGCTACAATCCCAAAGTTCCCTCCAGAGGGATTTTCTCTCCCACACACTGCCTGAAGCGCCTCCATTGAACTCCTTTTGATTTATTTCGTGTCAAAGTGACATCACTACGTAACACTTGCTCGTCTATTGGCTAACGCTCCAACACATTGTAGGTGATAAGTGGCGAGACATCTCTAAGCGGTTGACCAATCACAACAGAGCCAGTCAGCTAACCAATCAGAGCAGACTGGGCTCTGGTTTCAGACAGAGGGTGAAAAGAGGAGCTGCAGCACAGACAGTATAAGAAAAATAAAGTGCTTTTTGAACATTAAAGCATGGAGACATGTCACAGTAGAGGTACAAAGTACAAATATGAACCTGAAAATGAGCAGAATAGGGCCCCTTTAAACATATCCTTAAATCCAGCACAGAGCAGTCAATATTAGTCAACATAAACAACTCTCTTCCCGAAGCAGAGACCTTAAAAGTAAAGATTTAAATCAGTGAAGTCTTGAGCTGCACGAATGAGAGACAGATTATCTGGAGCCACGACGATGTTTGTTTGAGTTTCTATTTCCAATGCTATCTTCTCTGTAGCCGTGTTATCAGCTCTGAACCAGAAAATATACTCTTATCCTCCGAAAAGCCCCCTGGGGACTCTGCCAGTCACCTTCATTGTCTTTCCCAATTCTTTATTTACTGTGGAGCAGCTCAAATCAAACAACTTATAGACACCACATGTCCTCTGCCTTGCTGAAGTGTGGTTTGTGCTTATAACTGCTAATTCCATTGCTGTAAAAACAACATAGATATTCATAATTTAAATACTATTCACCTTTAAATGCTGCTGTTTACCCCTATGGTATTGATGTGCTTTATCTAGTGTACGTAGCGTAGCGGCATATGATTAATTTAAAAATAATCACACAATTCCATGTCAGTAGAATAGAAAGGGTACAGTAGGCGTTTAAGGGCAGTTTGCCATATTATATGAATATTCATTAATCTCATTTGAATAAAATGCTATACAGCTGGCACACGTTTCTTTCATCAAACGTTAAGAGGCAGAATGACAGATGAGTGGATGAAAGAAAGACTGATAGACGTGTATAATAAGTGCACTTTCAAACACACACACACACACACACACACACACACGCACACACACACACAGACACACACACACACACACACACACACACACACACACACACACACACACACACACACACACACACACACACACACACACACACACACACACACACACACACTTGTGGGCCATGTGTGCACTTACTGCCTTTGCGTTGGCGGTACAGGAAGAAGGCGAGCGCCAGTAGACACATAAGCAGCAGAATGCAGGAGCCCACTGTACCCCCGGCGATAATTCCCACTGGTACAATATCTGAAACAAACACAAGCAAAGAAAAAAGAGTCCGGGTTGAGGGACAGCTGCTGCCTCATTGTGACAAAAACCTGCACGGATATTATGTTGTTTAAGTATAAATCCTGTGTCCTATAGCTTAATACTGCATCTCTGACGGCTGCATGTGCGTTGATAAGGCATGAAAGTTACACAAGGGGATCAAATGTTAAGGTTTTTCTAAAGCTTGTGAAATCTGACAGCTGAAGGAGTGAGATTGACAGAGCATGAAGAAATAATTTTCTGAATAAAATGTAGAATTTTCCTTAGAACATTATATTTTTTTGAAATAATTTGCAGCCATTGTTGTTGACATCCATGTGTGCTGTCTTCATGTTGAGGCTTTCTTCTTCTTCCCTGCTGTTTGCTGCTGTATTGCAGGAGATGACTGGGTGTTACGTCACCTCAGCGCTCATACTTTAAAGTCAGACTACCCAATTGAATGTTTTTTCTCTTCTCCTTTACGAATACTTTTCTTTAATGTTTCAAAAACATGCTTCTTTTGACGTGTTCAGTCTTCTCCTGCTGTTGTTTGATTGACACAATGCTACCAAGTCTCTCAGGGCCCAGCAGCAAACATTTACAAAAATATCTCCCATGCCCCAAAAAAACAACATTCTTTCATTATTCTCGCGCATCTGTAGAACTATTGAAACCACGACTTCAATGGCAACTTATCCATTATGTTGAATGAATCCTTGAACCAATTAAGATTGTATCCACATAATACAGATACACATATATTTATTGTAATATATATATATATATATTGTATATCTTATTATTATTTTATGAATATGTATTCTTTTATTGGACTTTTTACATTAACTTCTTATCTCTATATACATTTATGTTTTTATTTTTCATTTTGTCAATTTATTGGAAATCGTAAATTGGACTCCTTACTGTATGTTATATCATTTTATTTATGTTTTTGCTCTTAATTTAATTCTCAAATGGAACAAAACCCACTTTACCTATTGGGTAAATAACATATTCTGATTCTGTTTCAGATATAAAGCAAATCGAATGAACCAAGAAGAGTAACTCGTAATAATATTACAAATCAGAGCCTTGTCTGCGTCCACATCCCATCATAAACAAACAACGCATGTCCCAACCATAGACTGTATATGGTCCCAACTCACACATATTGCTCAGCACGACCATTAATGCCAGAACATCCTCAAAAGGTCATTTTATTGTACAAAACCCTTGGGTTCAGTATGACTGTTGTTAGCTAATATGATTTGCCATAAACACTTTTGCTGTCTTGAACTAAATTATTATCTACAGATGTGAAAGAACTATATATATATATATTTCAGAAGCCAATTCTCAGCTTGATCTGTTCTATTATTATTATTATTATCCAGCACCAGACACTTTTCTTTTACGCTGCTATGGACAGTCTTGCACCAATGCACATTCTCAAAGATAATGAAGTGACTTTTATTTTGTATATATTGATTGTTGTGTTTTTATTTAGGTCTTAATGTGTGCATATGTATAAATGTGTCTTAGATTGTGTATATATAGGTATATACATAATTTGCATACATATTTTTATATATATTTGTTTTTGTATTCGGGATTGTGGGAAACGGTATTTCCATCTTTCTGTCTGTACTGTACACACAAACTGAAAGATTGACAATAAAGCTGACTTTCACTTTGGATGATAACAATCTAATCCAATCATTCACTGTGTAGCCAATCAGGAGCCACTGTCTGACCATCTGAGTTATCTTGTTGTTTCCATATCAGAATCAGAATACCTTTATTAGTCCCACAGAGGGGAAATGTACATTGTTATCAAAGACAGCTTAATGTTACCTAAGAAGTTACATAACAAATTATTAAATACACAAAAATTCTAATAAAAGAAGTTACACATCATACCGGTCTCCTCCAGGGTGATGATCATGGTCCCGGGTCCGAAGGAGTTCCAGGCGGTGCAGTTGTAGGGCGAGTGGAAGTCTGTCTCCATCACGTTGTTGATGGTGAGGGTGGAGAGCACGGCTCCGCCCTGATCGAGAGGTTTGCTCTGCTCCACGGTGTAGCGCTCCATCAGCGTGCCCTTCTCCTTCTCCCACACGTTCTCCTTCCAGGCCCACACCTGAGGCACACAGTTAAACATTATTATATCATTTGTAATTTGATGAGTTTGGAGTTAGGGCTTCGCACTTACAGTAAAACCAATTTTATCACTAGTATTTTTTGGCAATGTCAGAAAATAATTGTATTTTGGGAAATGATATGTAAGGAAATACGTCAAATAATTGGGTATGAGGTTTCTAAAAGTAGTTTGGTACTCTGTTTATTTATATTAATTCAATGAGGAAATGATTGCAAGTGACAGATATTTGATAACAATTCTGCTAACATCCAGCAAGAAAGCTATCACTAGGAATTGGGGTAAGGAAGCAGCATAAACCAAAAACCAATGGGTTGTGGAAGAAATCTTTTTGATGGAAAAACTGACTTGTAAATTGAGATTGCAAGAAACACAACTCAACAGAAAGTGGGAACAATACAAGACTCAAAACAAAGACATTTGATGGGAACAATAGCTAATAGATACATGTATAATAACATGCAGACATATAGCCTTTAATTTAATTTGTATTTTGTATTGCCTTGCTGGCCATTTGTTACATCATTGTAATGTTGTTGTAACCAGCATGTTATTGCCATGTACAATGTGACAATAAAGATTTAAATTACAAAAAAAAAAATTTTTTTTATCGAAATCGCAGTATGGACAATATCCAAATCACAGGAAGCACTATATTTGTTAAAGGATTTATATGTGTTACATATCATGAAGTATTGTGGAGCTATCCCAGCCTACAGATCATATTGTACAGACTTAACAAAATACATTTGTTTTAAATGGTCGTTCCCTCTCACATCGTAATTGCAGTACCTGTCAAAAAGAATCACAATTAAACATTTGTTTCAGATCGTGCAGCCCTAGATTACACATCCAGATCATGTTGAGCTGCTGCATACTGTGTCTATTCAGATATATTAACCAATTACTGTAAGTCCAAGATCGTATAATAGGGATCTCCTGATCGTTTATCCGCTCACCCGATTAGTTAAAACTCCCTGTTGGGTATCTTAGGTTTTACAAGTCGGTATATCAACTTATTCATCTCTTTGTAAATCCATTGACTAAATGAACATGTTATCAAACATTTGATAATCTTCCTTATTCAATCTTTTATTGATCTATACATTTCATCTGACATTTCTTACTAACTAAAGATGATTCCTATTGTTTTTGGCATCAAATGGTCTCTTTTGTGATCTGTAAAACATTCTGTAAATGTGTTTAAAGTTACTACAGTATAAGGACCAGAGTTGGGTGTAACGCGTTACTGTAATAATGTTACTTTTGTCGGTAACGGAGTAGTGTAACGCGTTACTTTTATAATTCAGTAATCACACTACAGTTCCTAACATTGCCCCGACACCATGGATGTATAATAAGAACTGGATACAGCGTGGGAGGCGGGGCCTCATTCATTCCTATGAGAGTTGCTCAATCGCGCATGATGACAAAATGGCCCAACTTTTGAGAGAGCGAAACGTCACAGATTACCCGGCATGCCTGAGAAGTACCCGTATGTGCGCTCATAGCGCATGCGCAACTTTAAACATGCCCCCCAAAATGCTCGTTCACATCAAGCACGTCAATTTGCGTACACGTAACAGCACCGCGCGTTCATGACAGCATGGTAATGGGTTGTTATGATGGATTTGATATTAACGACGAGGCGGCAGTTAGCAGCTAGCGGCTAGCTAGTAATTATGCTAATTTACACATCAGTCGTTATGTACTTTTATATTACGCTGATGTAACAGGATCTAGTGATATCCAAGCAACAGAGCTTAATTTAGCATGATACTTGTGTGGGTTGTAGCCTACATGAAACCACTTGGTAATATATAAAAATATATGTATTTTGAGTTATGATCAATTGTGATTTAAATCTTTATCATTGTTCATTGTATATGTAAGTTATTTATATGTATGTAAGTTTTGTCTCGTGTGTATGTACTGTTTGTGATCGTTGTTGTGTCCTCACTCGTGGCCTGCACCTTGACGTGGTGAGTGGGCTTTAAACTAAGACAGGCCATTTATGTTTGAAATATCATGCTAACAAACCTGCAATTACAGAATTGAATGATAGTGGTTATATATGTTCATGTCTTGCTGACATTATTTGTTATCCTTTTCCGCATAGCCTCTCAGATGGATTCCTGTTTCATCTGTTGGTGTGCCACTGTCCAGTGTCTGCCGGCTGGCTCCCTCTCAGAAAAGTGCCATCTTCTGTCAACAGGAAGAACTGAGCCTCCCAACCAGCATTCTGACCATGAGTCTGACTCACTAAATGAAGCTCAGCGCAAGTTCTTTCAGGAAGACTGGGTATGTATACATTCACTCCGCAGCTGCTTATAATCAGCTCATCACAGGCGTTCTCTTTAACCTATTACATTCACCTCATTCTCCAGCAGCCAATCACCGAGCTGCAGCCAAACTTTAAAATGGTTCTCCTCTCTCCTGCAGTCAGCTGTGATTTCAGGTGTTCATGCTGCCGCCCGCCTCCTCCCCATCCACCTCCTCCCCATCCACCTCTTCTCCACCCACCTCCGTTCATCATATCCAGAGCCAGGAGAGCTAATCCAAAGACCTCATCACACCTCCTCTTCATCCCATCTCCTCATCAAATCCAGATCTTCATCATCATCACCAGTGTCTAGACCCCGGGGAGGTTCCCTATATGCTCACGGCTGCATTTCCCCCTTTAGATATAAGATTTCAGGATCGGGGTCTAATCGCCAAAGACTTAACATTTATCATATGACATGTGTCAATAAATGTTCTTTAAACAAAATGAAGTCTCTCCTGATTTAACTGTCTGGACCCCATCCTCAACTTTTTTTCAAACCACAACATGCCTTCAGAGGGCTTTCCTGTTGATCATAATTGGTGGATCTTTTAATCTAATAATTGCAATCAATATTATATATATTACCTTTTGATCTATATAAATTGTATTTACATTTGTTGTCACTATTTTTTCCACCTAGTTCTACAATGCCAGCCATAAGAGGTATACATTTCTTATTTTTGTGAATTTCTATATAAAATGCTGATTTTCTACCTGAAAATGCTTATGTATTTTTAATTACATTTTCGTAGAGCTTTGACTTTTTCAGCTGAATAAATATTATAACTAGATGGTTTTGTTCAGCATTGCCAGCTTCACTTTTGAGCTTTATGTTGTGCCCAGCATTCTCCTGTGCTCTGAAATCAAAATGTGGATAAGCATAACACAACACTAAAATAAACACTACAATACAACTTGTTATTTGACACACACAAGGTTGTTCATTTGTGTGTATAAATATAAAACACAGGCTATATATATATATATATATATATATATATATATATATATATATATATATACATATACAAGTATAATTAATACAACTGTTAATTTGATTAGAGCTTTGACACATATATCTTTATTTATATATGTATAAGTATGACGACTTCCTCGGGCGATATCATGGTATAGCTAATTAATCTGGGTCAAAACGTGTTGTGCCCACATGCAAAGGTTGTAAACTCTGGTTTATCCCTGCGTGGTATTATAGTAATAGCAAACAGCAACGTTCAACTCCTTTAATGGTATATTGCAAGTGCAATAAGAAGCTACAGGGACGTTAATCTACGTCGGTAATATTAACTTTATTTAATACAAGATTTACATCATACAGCCCATGTAGTATAATATTTTACAAATGATGAATTACAGCAAACATGTGCAATATATCCATTATTACAGCTCCGTGGGCTGGCAGTAAGGCGATATGGGTCCGTTCTTATCCATGGGTAAAGATAAACTCATGTGGTGCTGAACACGTCACATCACATGAACGTGCCGGGCGGCGCGGTCCCGTGGGTTAGATGCGCGTTCATAATACAGAGGGAAATAACTCTCAGAATAACGTTATTAGCACATTTTTACAACTTGAGGAACGAATGTTTTTAATAAGGGCTATACAAGTGTTCATACTGGGTAGTTTATTTAGTTTAAAAAAAATTATCCAACGAGTTACAGACCACTCTTTCCCCATGTAAGTCAATGGGAAAAAGTGTTTCCGGGCCTGGCAACCAAAAGGAAGTGTAGTACCGCCGTTTGGCCAGCACGAATATTTTCATCAGAGTCCGGCGCACTTCCTGGGGGCTTGCCCGACACGCGTTACTTCGTTACTTTTATAAAATCAGTCATCACACTGACAGACAAGAGGGGTTTCCGCCGCAGGTTTATATGTACGTAATCTGCGCGACTTGCGCGTCCACATCTCCACGTGCAGTGCTGCATAAACATGGCAGAGTCAGCGATAACTTTCGAGGGGTGGAGGTATGCCCATTATTTTGAGTTCGTCCGAAGAATAGACAGGAATGTGACGGTGAGGTGCAAACTGTGTCCAGGCCAGAAGCTGTTATACACTGCTGCAAACACCACGTCAAACCTCAACAAACACCTGCAAAGAACACATGCTAAGGTGAAGCTAATAGCTAAGGACCCCCGAACCCAGAGTGAGGATGTTGTGAGTCGCCGCCGCCGACTCTGAAGCAGCACAAATTAGAATTTGGAGGACCGGTAACCAAAGCAGAGATGGACAGGCTTGAAGCATCCTTCATAGTAGAGGTAATGTTGCCCATTTGCACAGTGGAATCACCATCTCATCGTTCAGAGATATACTGCACAAAATACAGATATCAGGAGACAGAGGACAGCCATAGTCAGAGCTATCTGGATCAGTCTTATGCGACAATGGAAACTGAACTAAAGAGAACATTTGAAACTTTAGCAGTCTGCGTGATCTGCCTGTAGGGAGGGGCGGGCCGGCCCTGCGAGTAAAGTAACGAGTAAAGTAACGAGTAAAGTAACGAGTTACTTTATGTAGAGAGTAACGAAGTAGTGTAATATATTACTTTTTTTTAAAGTAATATGTAATATGTAATATATTACTTTTTTTTAGTAACGACCCCATCTCTGATAAGGACACACTTATTATTTGTGCTAATTTATTTTAATTTGGGGTGGATACAAGCCTGAGTGTTTCTAAGCTTGGAGCAGTTGGAATAGATGACAGGAATAAAGAATAACTCCATAGAAATATCCATCTTCTCACTGAAAGTCTTGTTTACTTGTACATGTCATAAAGAAGTATCAGCGTTATATTGGGATTGCTTCATAACCAAGGTAAAAGTTCCTCGTAGTAACTTCAAAAAGTCCTATATCATTATGTAAACATTAAATATAAACACATGTATGCAATCGGTTGTTACAGCGCACTAGAAAAGCACATAGTCTAAACCTGCTCTTCAGTTATCTACCATTTAAAAGAGATTGCATTAAGTGGTAAAGCAGGTGCATCCATTTAGGATTGAGATAAGATTAAAGGCTTGGTAAATGTGCACACTTACACTTTTACAAATCTATAAATCTGCTCCTAATCAACACAGCAGGAGAAGTCCTTTAACGCTGATAGGAGGCAGCGTGATGAAGCAGAATTTCCAATATGTTTCATTTGTTGGATTTTTATCTAAACTCCACTCCCCTGATTTCTCATGAGGGATCAATAAAGCACATTTCACTTGATCTTATCTTGTATTGTATTACCTAGGAAACTCTCACACACACACACACACACACACACACACACACACACACACACACACACACACACACACACACACACACACACACACTGTACAAATAGTAAACACTCAGCGGATGGCTGTTGTTGAGAAAGGTTAAGAGAGACTAAAGCAGGAAATACATTTTAAGCAAACAACAAATTAAATTCTCACACCTTGGTAACTATGTATGCTTTCTCCTGGTGCGGTATGTTCCTAATTAAAACCGTTGAGGCTGGGAACGAAAAATAAATCCTCACCCACACACACACACACACACACACACACACACACACACACACACACACACACACACACACACACACACACACACACACACACACACACACACACACACACACGGAGTGCATCAAGTGTACAGGAGCGATAAAAACTCAAGCAGGTTTTTCTACTTAAAATCTGCTGAGGTAGAAATTTGAGGGTATTAAAAATGGAGCATGGCGATATCAAATATACATAAAGCCATATGTTTGGCTAATGTACCTTTTAACCTGGATTTGAAAAAAATGAGAGGAAATCAAGAGTGGAGAAATTAAAAAGAGACTCAAATCTTCTCTTTCTCTCTGACAGTGTTACATAATGCGTCTTTTCTGTCTGCCTCTCAAAATCGTATTCGTTTTTCCTCACAATGATTTTCTTTGATTGCACCACCTCTGTCTGTATCTCCATTTCTCAATACTTCCTTGCCTATTTTCCACACACACACACACACACACACACACACACACACACACACACACACACACACACACACACACACACACACACACACACACACACACACACACACACACACACACACATCATCATACTCCATATTTTATAAGTCCTTGTGTCTCTGCATTAAGCCGAGACTATAATGTCGTATCACATTATACGCTCTGAGCTCTGCCGCTGCAGCAGGGGGCTGAAGCTTCCTAAAAGCTCTGATTTCTGTCATGTCGGCACTGCACAATTGGATAATTGACGCTGAAAGGTACAGAATTTTACTCTCCCTCCATTTCTCCCCCTCTTATTTCAATCTGTTATACCCCCCACCCTCTCTCTAACTCATTCTAGCCTTCAAAGTGGATTTATTTTCCATTTTCTGGCTTTTTTTTTTTTTGCATTCTGCTGTCCTTTAAAGGTTTATAGCACATACCATAACACTCATAGACACTTTATATTAAGCTGTTGATCAAGTATTGCACTCAGCGACTTTAAGAAAAGCCAGGAATAAAAAGAAAAAACAGCATACAGCAGTTACAGCACATTTCAGGAGGATATCTATTACAGTTTGCTGCTGAGGCAATCTGTGTGTGAGCGCCTTCTTATAGAGAAAAGATGGCTACCACTTTGTGAGGGACCACTGACTTGGAACCGTTTCGGCTGGTTGCTCCAATTCATACTGAAATCAAGATGGTATTGACGCTGCGCTGACCCTTTCATGGGGGAGATAACTTTGTAACTCTGACTATAGGAAACACTCAAAGCTGTGTTTCATTATTTCTTGTATCTGTACTATTGTGTCTCCTTCTTCATTTCCACCATACACCACAGCAGCTGCTTTTGATGAGTCACAACTTCCCGCTCAGAGGAGGAACAGATTGTTCTCACATATTTGGGACACAATTGCAACACAGAAGGTGTTCTGTTTGAGGTAGATGCAATCTGAGAAAAGGTGGAGCACGACTGCAGCAGATTACAACTTCCAAGGATGGACTTACAATCTTATCAGGTGGGGGGGTGCTGGCGATGTAACACTTGATCTCTCCTCGCTCGCCTCGGACAGAGTACTGAACTGTATCGCTGGAGATGATTGGAGGGCCTGAGCCAGAGAGAGAGAGATGGAGAAGACATAAGAGGATTACTAACAAGTCATAAGGTCTGAGAAGCATCTTTTGCATTCAACTTAACAACAAATCAACAAGTCACAACCGCATCAACCCTTGCTGTTAGAACCGTAACCAAGGACCCCCAATAAAATGTCTTAAAAATATGTTTGACAATGTGATATAGGTTGGTGTCATAATGTTTTTAACCAAGGTTTATGCTCACTTAATTCCATTTGAAAATGCATTAAAGGGGCCCTATTATGCTAATTTTAAGGTTTTATAATTGTATTTTTTGCCTCTACTTCGACATGTTTACATGCTTTAATGTTCAACAAGGTATTTCTTTTTCTCCTACTGCCCGTGCTCTGCTTAGAGATGACCCGACCCTTAGCCTATCATATATAATGTGTTAGCACTAGCCAATAGCAAGGCGAGTGTTACACAGTGAGGAACTATGTTTCCCTCCATTGTAAAGGAGTCCAATGGAGGGGTTTCAGGCAGGGGGGGGGGAGTGTGTGGGAGAGAAACTCCCTCTGCAGGGAACACAAGGATTTTAGCCTTTGCAGACCATTTACTTCCATTTCCCAGTTGAAAAACGCTTTAAAGGGGCCCTATTCTGCTCATTTTAAGGTTTTCTTTATTGTAAATTGTGTCTCTAATACGACACGTTTACATAACACAAAAACCCATATAAAACACTACAGGAAAGGGAAAACCCCACAAATCATAAAAGGGCCTTTTTAAAAAAGCTATGGCAGCTTGATGAGCCACTCACTATCGTCTGGCCGGGACAAAATGGGACTTGACTTTGACCCTTTGTGTTCACAGACACCATCAATTGTATATCGTCTCTCAAAACTGACAGTAAAGGTGGATTTATAAACCATCCGTCATCTTTCTTCTGCTGCAAATACTTGCCTTTGTATGATCCGTGTTAACCTAATAGAGTCACATGTGTAAAAGAAGCCACTCTTGGACCTCAAGGACGTGACAACGAACGTGACCCTTTGTCAGTTGGCCAAGATTTAAGGAGCATTTGTGAACTCCCCTTTTCGTAATTGTGGTAATTGTGTTTGGTTTTGATTTATCAAGTAATTGCTGGTCTCTCTGCGGTAGGGGAGAGAGTTTTGACATTGAAATGTTGGCTTTGAGCCTGTTTCACCGCTGAAAAATTAGCTGTTGAGGTCGGGTCGGGCTTGGGCCTAAATGATTCATGTCGGGTCGACAGGCAGTACTTTACTCTCCACATTAGTGGCGTCATCTGTCGGAGACATACATGCATTTTATAGGAAATAACTCCAGATTGAACAAACACATCGTGGAGGATGTGATTGATTATTCGTGTTTGACCGAGAAGCAGGGCTTAGAGAGATTTGTTCTACATGTTAATCAGAATTCCCACAGAGGGGACATTTACATCGTTACAGCAAAGAGACAATACTGATAGAGACAATATAGAAACAGTATTTAGTAAAGTGGCATGCACACTTATTAAAGTTACACATTCCAATTATAAAAAGGTTAGTATTATACAAAAATAAGTTAAACAAGTAGAAAGTAATGAAGTAGCTGCAGGATGATGTAGTAAATACTGTATATTGCACACTGTTATATTACAAGTGTTGGGTAGTGCGAAACAAATAAGCAGCGAGCAGCAGAATTAAGTAGAAACAGAGTAGCCAGTAATATAATTGTTGCATGTATTACAGTTATTCATATTAGTAGTGGATAGTAACTGACCGTTGACGGTGAGTGTAACCTCCGTCTCCCCGACTCCAATCCGGGGAACGATGGCCTTGCAGACGTACTGGCCTGCATCGGCCTGGCTCACTGACTTCAAATACAGCTGGTTGTTGTTGCTGAGCACCTGAACACACACACACACACACACACACACACACACACACACACACACACACACACACACACACACACACACACACACACACACACACACACACACAAAGGTATAAGACAGCATGAGATTAGAAGCAGGAAAGTAGCTTTGTGATGTAGAGGGCGGCGGATAGGGAACGATTTTTCAAATAAAGGAGGGGGTCTATATTTAATTCATAAAACATGTTGATTTACTCGGCAGGCTCCATTAGTTTTTTTCATGGAGCTTTTCTTAACTTGTTAGGCATGAATTAAAGATTTAGGATATGAAGACTGAGTCTCAGTTCCTACCGTCTACTTTACTGAGAAAACATTTATGGAGTCTAGGTCGTGGACATTAATATAGGCTGGGGTTTTCTGTCTGTAATTCGTGAGGAGTGGGATTTCCGATAATATGTAGCACTCCTTTTTAAATTTTCAACATTTTATTGGAATCAAATATTAAATCATACATGTATGAAACATGTAGGCTAATAGGTCAAAGTTTGGGGGAAGGTGTGATGGTCTGTCCTCACCATGCTGGAGCCCTTCTTGGTCCAGGTGAGGGTGAGGGGGGGGGTTTCCGGACCACTTGCAGTTCAGAGTGACGTCAGCGTCCACATCTACTGTCACAGGCCGAGGCTCAATGATCAGTATAGGGCCAACTGGAAGAGAGTAAAAGAACAAATAAGACCCCTGGATGTCAGAAGTCAAAGTCAACTTTATTGTCAATCTTCCAGTTTGTGTGTACAGAGATCGAAATACCATTTCCCACAATCACGAATATAAAAGCAAATGTATATAAAGATATATATACACAGACACAATTTGATATATATATGCCGTTAATTAATAACTGTGCAATATATACCTGGCTGCTAAATCCTCAGAACTGTTACAGGATGTGTAAATTGTGTAATTTGTATTATTATTTTTGTATTTTAATATGTTTGTATGCATGCTTCTTCGGTAACATTAAGCTGTCTTTCGCTCTTTTCTGCTGTAACAATGTGCATGTAATGTCCCCTTTGTGGGACTAATAATAAAGGTATTCTGATGATAAATAAGTACCTGAAAAACCAGAATATGCTAAATATTATTAAGAAATAATTTATTTTGACTATATTTTCCAAAATGTGTTGGAGTAGATGTTCTTTAACTCTCATTGAGGAAACTTTCATGTAGCTGGCAGTCAAATACAACCTCTTATCACAAAGCAAGCATGCTTTAGTGCGGTACATTTGTTCTCGTTGTATAGCATAAGCGTAATTATTGTTTCTTTATTTTTCTTCTGTATATTTAGCAAATCACTTATTTATTTCAACAGTTTAAACGTACAGGGACATCACACATTATTGGTATTTTAGTACATCAACTGAAGTGTCTGTGAAAGGTTTAATTACAGCAACAAAAGACTGTATATGAAGACTGTATATACAGGAATGCACATATGATAAGAATGCAATACATGCATAAAGAAATTACATAAAGCACGTTTCAGGTTATTTGAACATATATAAAAGTATGGTCACACACTTAACTGCTTTAATACCTATTATATTGAAAAATGAACAATATGTATCACTCTCTTATAAGTGTTTGTACCGTATAGTAAACAGCTGATACACAGAGAATAAGGAGAGATAGGGGATAATGCAACAAAGGACAGCTCTACTTCTTTTCTGTAATTAGGGCTTGTTTTATTTAATGCACTTTCACTTCTATTTGCCATTTGTCTTTCACAACAAATGCCATTAGTGAACCGAGAGGCACTGACCTAGGAATTGTAATTCAACATGTGTGTATTTTCTACTTTTTCTAGTCTTTAATTTGTATTGTACAATGCCATGTCTTTTTATGCTGCTGCAACGCAAACATTTCCCAATTTGGGATCAATAAAGTATTTCTTATCTTATCTTATCTTATCTTATCTTATCTTATCTTTAGAGAAATCATTATACAGTAACAATCTTTTGCAAATTGATTCTGCACAATACAGGAAAACAGTGAAGTAACAAAAAATAAAAGCGTGGCTCTTCAAACAAACACGGACAAATATAGTTAGAGCGTATAAATATCAGCAGAGTCCCACTCAGCTCGGGAGTGTTTGCTCTGTACTCACAGTGCACGTCCACCAGGATGCTGACGTTGGTGCTTCCCACCACGTTGAAGACCTGGCAGGACACGGGCTCGGTGAAGAAGGAGTGATCAGCCGTGGTGACAAACACAGTCTCCCTCGCTCCCTCTAGCAGCACGCCACCCTTCGCCCACCTGACACAGGAACACATCACCGTTTAACAAGATTCCCAGCATTACAATCATTGTTATGTCAGTTATCAGCGGGAGATCTGAAAAGCATAATGAGTTTTTCTAATTTTTTGGTGGGGATCCAAATGTTTCCACTATTAGTCGACGAGTGTTTTTAAATTATCAATTAAAGCTGTTAAAGTCTCATTTGAAAAGCCTTCATTTCAAAACCCGAGGGAATGATTGCAAGCTAAGGAAATACTTTTCTCTTCATTTTCGTGATCCAGATATATAGCTGAAAATCATATAACCATATTGCACATCTGCCATTAGATGACTTTTTAATACAGGCTCAATAGGCTTAGTGCCTAAGAGCCTGGCAGCGCTCCCACTCTGGGACCCTCTGGTGTCGTTTCAAACCTCAGATTAAAACCACCGTGTTTAAGTCCAGTGTTTAGCCATTTCAGTGCTTCAGTGCTGTCACTTAAGATTTACCTCATGGTTTAATTGTTTAAATATTCAATACTTTCTCCAATTCTGTTCTGCAAGCAGAAATTACAATTCAGTATTGCCTCCAGACGGCAGTTACAAGCAGATTGGAATAGATGGAGAAAGAAATCTATTGGCATTACACAGAACTGCAATCTGGCTCCTGATGTTGGACTGCAGGCATGCAATGAAACGCTTTCCCCAAAGAATCATCAAAAAGTTAGTTGCATGCTTCTAAAGTAAATTAAACCAGGTCTGAGATCTTAAAGAGGCCCTTTTATGCTTTCCTGTAGTGTGTTATAAAGGTTTTTGTGCATGTCAATGGTCTGCCGAGGCTAAAATCCCTTTGTCCCCCCCCCCTGCCTAAAACACCTTCATTGGACTCCTTTGTTTACTTCTGTAACATAATACACATCACTATGTAACACGTGCGCTCCTATTGGCTAGTGCTCAACACATTGTACGTAATAGGCTAAGGGGCGGGACACCTCTAAGCGGTTGACCAATCACAACAGAGCCGGCCAGCTAACCAATCAGAGCAGACTGGGCTCTGGTTTCAGACAGAGGGTGAAAAGAGGTGCTGCAGAACATGAGAGCATGGAGACATGTCACAGGAGAGACACTACATTTCATCCGTACCTGATTCCGATGATTGGAGGGTTTCCGGTGGCCGCGCAGGTGAACGTTACTCTCTCTCCTTCCATGACGGAGCGAGGCTCGATGGAAAGGGTCACCATAGGAGGGTCTGCACAAGAAGAGATACATATTTGATATACAGTCGAACGATAAACCACATGACTGTCTTTGTTTCAGTGCAATGCATCATGAGGGATTCAATTACACAAACTATACATTTAACAATAACATGTTGTATTTCAAACATACAGTCTTTCACTAACACAGCACTGGTTCTACATCTACTCTTACTGTCGTTTTTATCACATTAATTACAACACTGGCTTTGAAAAATACATCAATCGTTTTAATTGAAAATTCAAACCGCAGTTTTCTTTATGTGCAATCATTCCTTGTTTCTTAGAGGACACAATAGAAACCCCTTAAATCACAAAAGGGTATCAGGTTTTCCTTATGTTGAAGAAAATCAACTGGCTCAACCGCTTCAGGATAAAAATGAGTGGCTCCAAAGAGGATGCTAAATCAATGCAACAGCGATAAAAAAATCTGGAACCCGCCCAGGTTTGACAATGGTGAAAAATAGTGGCTATAAATTCCTAAACACAGCACGTAACTTCAAGTTGACAGGTGCTGGGCAGGTCATTTAAATTATGGCGTGATTTCTTTATGTGCCGACACAAAATCAGCCCCACCTATGCACCTTTAGTGACAAAATGGGTAACATACGGTGGACGTTGAGGGTAACAGTAGCTCGCTTTCCCATGGGAACCGCAGGGTTGCTGGCTACACAGGTGAAGTTGCGACCACTGTCAGTGTCGGCCGGGATGATGGGCAGGTAGCTCCTGGTTGTCACCCTCTTCCTGTCAGGTAACACTTCCTGTTGGGGCGAAGAAATAGAGAAGGAGAGGATGAACGTGGGTAGAATTTTGGGATGGGGAGAAACAGAAAAAGATCAAAGCAGAGGAGAAGGAGCACAGTGGATGTGGAAGGACGAGAAGGACATAAAAAGGAGGGAACGGGAAATGTCATGGGAGACATAAGAGAGAGGAAGGGGAGGAGAAAATGAGAGAGACACAGGATGGTTACTAATGGAGCCAAGACTTAGCATAACATGGAAATAGAAAAGGCAATCTGTAATAAACAACAGTTTCAGACATGATGCAGGAAAGGAAACTGAAAAGGGGCAAAGGAGAAACAACCAGACATATCCGTGTTCTGGTGCTTCGTCGTCATCGTGCTTAATATCGGTGCAGGGAAATCTAGAAAATGTTCTTCTAATTATCGCAAGCAATTCAGTTTTATGAGGACCCTCGACCTTGCTATCGAAATGAGAGCTGAATACTTATGTGAAAAAAAAAAAAAAAATGAAAGTTGGTTTAATCGTACAGATAGGGGAAGCAATTTCAAGGCGATATCTTGAGCTCTGGGAATTTGAAGTTTGTCCATTTGATAGATGAAAGGAACTTCCTTGTTTTTTGGATATATGAATCCATAATAAACTCTCTTTCTTGCAGCTATAAGACATACGTTATAACTCTTATCACTTCAGTCTCCCTGGATTCTTGAGGTGGGGATGCTTTGCAACACAGCTACAAAATCTGTCAAGAAAGTGTTCACAGCCTTCTCTGTAGTGTAAAAGCGTGGTCAGTAACACGATAGCATAAGAGCAGCATGTAATATGTATGGGCATGTGTGGGGGGGCATAAAACGGGCTGCAAGAGATGTAAAAACATCTGTGTTGAGTGTCTGAGTCAGTGTTTGCTGCTGCCTCCATGTGCATATGAAAGCATGAGTGTACATATGTGCGTGAGTGTATGTGTGTGTTTGTGTGTGCACTTGCAGGCATCATTTCATGAGTGTAGGAGAGTATGCAGGAGCGTGATAGTGGAGAAAGGAGTGCCAAAATATATCACTGTGATTATAAGTGTCACTTAGTACAGTTCCTGCTTTTATGTGTCGGTGTGTGAGGGAGAGTCTGCCAGTGTTACTTGGGTTAATTAAAAATATCTTGGCTTTATGTTTCCCGTTGTGTCACGACCATAAAGTGTGGATGTGTTTCTTCACATGGGCTTCTCTTGCGGTAAACAATGGCCATACAAAATTCATTGCAGATGGAAGAGAAATGATAGACACGTTTTAAAGTGGTGCAGTGATGACGTAAACAGAAGTTAACATGGCAAGGGCTTCCTGAAAAAAAACGATGGGATTTTTCCATTGGATTTTGGAATATTGCAATAAATAAGCTATGTTGCAAACACACATTTCTGATAGTCATAGGTTTCTGTTCAACAGGAATAATCTCGAGATATTTTCCACTTTTGAAGTGTATATGAAATTGCCTGAAGTTAAAAGCTCATTTTAAACTGTAAACGAGCCACATCAACGGTTAGATCACGCTAACATTAGCCACCACCGCTAAACTAAAGGTGGCTAATGTTAGCGTGATAATGTTTAGCAGTCTCATTAGGCCACTTTTTTGAACCGCTATTATTATGACACATACTGTAGAAGCGTTGGACTATCAGGAGTGGGGTATTTACTGACTTGTTTTATGTCCAAAGGTCTTATTGTTGGCATCTCAACAAAAACACGTTGACTTCGATTCGTGAAATGCTAAAATGCTTACTAAATTTCCCATTCTATTGGCAAGGAAAGACCCTTGAAAAAACAAGATCAACATTGATCTGACAAAGTTAAACAAAACTTCTTAAATACACTTGTGGTTTAGAATCACTATATAACAATATAAAGTTACTGAAATACAAAAAAGCACTTCTATTTAACTGCAGTATGTGGCCCGTGAGGGAATCAAACCTACGACTGAATGAAAGTAAGTCACCGTGCAGATATTATCCCGTTTCATTCCAAACCTCATTGCCTTTTATTAAACTTTTAAAACCTCTCAATTGGAGAGATACCAAAGGCACAATTACTTTGATTCTTCCGTATGGTAATCACGCTCCAACACTTAATTCACAATCATCTGAAATGTTAAACAACTCATACATATTTAGTGAGTTTGCAGCACAAAAAATAAACTGATTTGATAAATTATATGAGAAGGGAGAGGTTTGATATTCTCATGTCACGCTGTTGTTTTTAAATAAATATAACATGTATGTCTCAAAATACAACATGCTGAGTGTCGGCTTTGTCTATTGAGGTTTTATCCTTTGGATGAACCCCTTCAGGGAAATGAGGGGCTGCAAAATGTGTTAAAAATCGGTTTAATTTGTCTCATCCTGGTCCAATAACGCTGTTTATTTTTTCACTAAACGTGAAAGTATGACTCAGCTATCTAGGTACCTTGGGTTTTTAATTATTTTGTCTGCCTGTTTCCTGTTTTATCATACAACAGAGCATGGCTTTCTCCGAGTAAGAAATGACTTATAGTTAATGTGATATGGTAAATAGATACCAGTGATGCATTTCAGTGAGTTGATGTTGACACTATTTAAGGCAAATACTGAGTTATCTCAAGATCTCTTAATCCCTTACAGGAATCAAGACGCAAAATGCTGCGGGCAACTGGTTATCAGGTCAGAATTTGCAATTTGTAAGCATTTAAAAAAGCATTAAATAATAAATATGGTCTCCATCTGCAGAGATGTTATCATTTTGTCAACCAAGAAGCATGGAAGTCTTGTGCTGACTTTGCAACCGCGAGGCGATTGTGAGGCCTGAGGTGTACAAACTGTAATTCCCCTTTGCAGCGCCCACGGCAACAAGCCTCTAAACAACAAACAAGCAGACTGAGAGTGCAGTTACTGAGGCTGCAGATACTAGACTTTTACAAAACACTTTTCCACTAGTAGCCTTTTGAGATTATGCAGATCTAATTTTAGTGTACAGTAATAAACTCTCTATGTGGGTTTATGTTGCGTGACTGTGTGTGGTGTAGGGTGTGTGTGAGTCACCGTGGACTGGAACGGCCCCCGCCACTGCCCGCTCCATCTTTGTCCACTGGATGGTGCGCTGCAGGCTTGGCCCCCCGGGTCACACAGGTCAGGTTGAACGGGTTCCCGGCCATACAGCAGCAGCTCCGGGGTCCCCTCCACCACCGGGTCTCCGGGCGGGACTGGAGGAGAGACACACACCAATCCAAGCTTTAGAGAGGATGCATTTATGCAAGCGTGCACTAATGCAAACAGACAAACCTATACATGTACACGAACAAGCATGCATTCCATCTACTCAACACATCGGATTGGATGTATAGCATTTTTCTAAGGAGGTTTTTAACTGCATGACCTTAAACGTCTTAGTTTGTGATTTATAAAATGCATTTCCAACTGTATTCGTTCAATGTTTTCTTCCTATCCATCAGTATTTCACAATTAAGAGCAGCTTCCTGCCCCCAAAAAAGATTACATGTGACATTAAGATAATTGCCAGAGAGGCAAATCCACAAGAAACAGTAAATGCCTCGCTTAGAACAATGTTACACCACCTGTTTTCATCAGATTTCTCTTTGCATTGTA